CTGAGAGATCTGTAGTCAATCAACTTGCAGCTTTTCCGTAAGAGATGCAAGTTGATTGGCTACACATTTTTCAAAACTGGAACTTTAACACAGTTCTTGGATCGCGGACACAAGGCTTTAGAAGAAGAAGCGGGACGGGCGAGGAGCAGCCTCTCGCGGGAAATGGTTGACCGGACGCGCGCGTGACGCTTGAAATTCCCGCCGGAAACGCGGGCGCGGGAGAAAAAAAACTCCCTAAGCGCCGTCACACAACTGCGGAACAGCTGATTGCTGAAAGTGGCGACGAGAGGAAAATCCGCATCAATTGGGAGGTTACGGGGAAGTATGCGGGAAAGAAGGGTCGAGCAATAGTCGCGTCGCGGTCCGAACGGCACTTGACTTAAACAGCTTGGATATTAACAGGGAAATACGGACAGCGAGTACTGCATCTTCAAATGTGACAGATGTTTGCTGTGAGAGATGTCACAGATTGATATTCAGGATTTGTTTAACAAAAGCAGGTGAGCTGATCCTTTCTGCTAAGCGAGTCCTTCGTCGAAGGAGCCTACGTGCACAGCTGTCACTATCCAGTTTCGTTACTTTCGTCGTAAACGAGAGCCGCGAGATAGCGCGAAGGATACTCTTGCGAGAGAAAAGACATTTTGTCCCTCACACGGAGTGTCCGCCGTAAAGGATACCCCCGGGGCGGATAGAAATGGTTTACTCGTCGCCGAGACTTGACGCGGAGCGTCAAAGTCCAAGGGTCTACCTGGACAAATTTGCATAACGCATAAACTTGTGCGCGAGGAATCTGATTGGGCCGTAAATGCACGCATATGGAAATAGACCAGTTCAATGTCTTGGCGCGTATGCCTGTGCGTCTGTGCAAGTTTGCCCGGGTAGACCCTAATCAATTGCGTTATCACGTATTTAGGTTTCCCAGCGGTCGGAGTCTCCTACTCGTAGCCTTGTACTCGCCGATAGGACTCGTGTGCGTGTCGCTGCGGCTGCTGGTGGTGTTGCTGCTCTGGCTGCTGGCGTCGCTGGTACCCGACTGCAATTCCCTCCGGGCGTTTCTAAGCTACGGCATCAGGTTCGCCTTCGGCATCGCAGTTAAGATCGACGCCGAGAGCAAGCGCAGGGACAAGCAGTCGAGGGTGATAATCGCCAACAATGTGTCCGTTCTGGATCACGTTGCTCTGCGCCGCGCGACGGAGACGCTGATCCCCAGCGTCTGGGAGCTGCCCGCGGCCCTGAGCAACGCGCTCGGATTACAGAGGATGAACATGAGCAGCAAGGAGACGCTGATCGCCAACATAAGACAATTCCTCTCCACGTCCACGTACAGCGTGGCGGTGCAGCCCGAGCTCGGCACGACCAACAACCGGGTCGCCCTGTTAAAGTTCAATTCCTGGCCGTTCAGCATAGAGACGTCGGTCCAGCCAGTCGTCATCAGAGCGTCGAGACCGGAGCTCGTCCCTGTGCACCTCACCTCGCTGGCCTCGACGTGGTGGACGGAAGTATTTTGGTTCATGTTCGTACCCTACACCATTTTCACACTCAAGTACCTGAAAATCAGACGGAACGCCGACCACGAGATACTCGTGCGACAAGTGGAGAGGGACATCGCGGACGCCCTCGGGCTGCAGACGTGCTCGCACACCGTGTCGGACAAGACGGAGTACGAGAAGCGTCACCGCATGAGAATAGTCAGTAACGCGCGAAGCTCCAACAACCGGAACACGCCAAATTCCCAAGTAATACATAGTATAGAGATACAGAGGATGGCTCGCCAAGTCAGCGAAGTACTTCCATTGGTCCCACACAATGTGATTCTGCGAGATCTCAGTGCGTAATACAACTTTCACTTTGCCAATCGTGCCGCGACGACGCCGACGCCGTTGCTAAATCTGCCCCTCCGTTTTACATTGCAGTGAAAACTCGAAACGTCGATGTCACGATCGCCAATATTCTCGACGGCATAGTTACTTACACTCCGGAGCCCAATCCGCCAGCTCAATCGTCCGTAACGTCGTCCAGCGGATCTTCAAGTTCTGCAAAGGACAACGTATTGGGTACCACTTCCTTCCAAGAGAAGAAAGCTAAAATGATACAGGAGGCCAGAGAAAGGTATATTAAGAAACATGGACTGACAAATTGCTGACATTCTTACTGCTGTTTTATTCTGGTTATAACACTGTCATTATAATAACATCTATATAACATGTTCTACTGTTCATGTATTATATTTACTATTACTTCATGTGAATACATCTTTATTTCTAAAATACGATCACATGTAATTGTACAAATATCCTATCCAATGTATTCATAAGCAATACTTGGCAAGAACGTTGTTTTATGTAATGCAATTGTGCATTGTATAGTGCAGTTGTCGATTATAATGGAATTACACGTTGAGCAGCAGGGAGAGTAAGACTTTTATATCGAATTATCAATTATTTCATTGTAGATAAACGAAACGTCATAGGTACACGCCATACTTTCTTGACTGTACATACGAGAGGCCAAAAGAATTTGTACTATTTTCGATGTAAAAAGATTTATATTAATTTTATAAACATTATTTATATAATATATAATATATATAATATATAAACATTGTAATCTCACACTTATAATTTTGAAATCACGAACAAAAGTTACATGATTTTGTTCAAGCGTGCAATATAACGCAATTGTTTTTTTAATGGAACTTTTTCAAGTCACAAAAGAGTATGTTAGACAAAAGGACTTGTTAAAACAATTACGTGAGCGAAGAAAAGTATGGGATACCTATGTAACAGCCTATAGACTTAAAATCTATATAATTATATGATTTGTATATATCTATAAATCTCATATTATTCCTATATATACTGTCTAACATTCTCCATGGAGTTCCTCTCGTAATTCCGAGTAATTACGTTGTACAATTAAACCATATAATATCTCTATATAATATCTATGAAAAAAAAGATAGATAATTGTGTAGGAACAAATGTATTCTCATGCCTCTCCTAAATATTTCTTATACATTGTACTCCATTTATAAAATTTGGAAGACTTGTTTTGTACTGTACGTATTATATGTGATATAAAAAATATAAAATCTACAACACGGATAAGTGAAAGCAGAATTAGTAAAGTGAAATGCAAAATCAATACTTTTATACTATTATATAATAACTAAATTACATATTGCACTATAGAAACTTAATATTCTCACTGATACTTATTTAACATTAACAAATACGTATATATACAACAATAAATTGTTAAGTATACATTTCAGTAAATGTATCCGATACAAATTAAAATAAAGTTGCTCGAGTTTAAAAAATTCAAATTTAAATTGTTTCTCGTATTGCAAGAACTTACAACTATGTAAAGAATACAAGGCATTAAAAACAAAATTAGTAGAATTATATATACACAAATAATCATAGCCAAAAATTACAGTTACTTAGGACACTCTGGAACTAATCTTGTCTCACTGTTATACATTATCGTTAAATTATAATAGTCTATTATTGTCTATACTCGATTTGTAACAACCATTATCTGATAATAGCGACTGGTGTCCGAGATGCATTTTGTATGATCAGAATTTAAGATTGCCGACACATACGTATTTGATATCGAGAAAATCCTCGACCCCGTGCTTGGAACCCTCCCTACCTAAACCAGACTCTTTCACCCCGCCGAAAGCAGCCTCCGCGCACGAGATCAGGCCCTCGTTGACGCCTACCATGCCGACTTCCAGCTTGCGCGCGACCCTAAATATCTGCGATACGTCCTGCGAGAAGAAGTATCCGGCCAAGCCGACGGGTGTGTCGTTGGCTTGCCTCAATACGTCTTCCTCGCTGGAAAACTTGTTGATCACAGCCACGGGCCCGAAGATTTCCTTGTTGTAAATTTGCATGTCTTTGGTTACATTGGTCAACAGGGTAGGAGCGTAAAACAACGGTCCGAGATCCGGCAATGGGCCCCCGCCGCAGTGTACCCTAGCACCCTTCTTGACGGCGTCCTTCACCAGACCGCTCACCATGTCCAACTGGCTCTTCTTAATGAGCGGCCCGTGAGTGACACCCTCCTGACTACCGTCTCCCATCTTGATATCCCTCTCAATTCTCTCCGCGAACCTCCTCACGAACTCGTCGAAGACGTCGGCCTCTACGAAAAACCTGTTGGCCGAGACACACGTCTGGCCGGTGTTGCGAAACTTGCTGGCCATAGCGCTGTTCACGGCGAGATCCACATCCGCGGATTTGAAGACGATGTACGGCGCGTTACCGCCCAGCTCGAGGCCGAGCCGCTTCATGGTCGAGGCGCACTGCTTGTACAAGATCTTCCCCACGGCCGTGGAGCCGGTGAACGACAACACTCTTATCTTCGGATTCTCGCACAGCTCTTTGCCGACGGCGGCGGAATTCGTGACGCTCGTGGTGAGTACGTTCAGGATGCCCGGAGGGAAGCCCGCCTGCTCCGCGAGGTCCGCCAGCGCCAGCGCCGTCAGCGGAGTGTCCTCGGACGGTTTAACGACGCACGTGCAGCCGGCGGCGAGCGCGGCACCGGCCTTCCTGGTGATCATAGCGTGCGGGAAGTTCCACGGGGTGATCAAGGCGGCCACGCCGACCGGCTGTCGCAGCAGGAACAGCTCTCTGTTCGCCACGGGGGCCTGCAGCACCTCGCCCCCTATTCTCCGCGCTTCCTCCGAGAACCACTCGACGAAGGAGTTGCCATACTTAATCTCCGCCCTGGACTCGGCGAGCGACTTGCCGTTCTCCTTGGTCAAGATGCGGGCCAGGTCCTCGGAGTGCTCGACCATCAGATTGTACCACTTTCTAAGCAGGTCGCTCCTCTCCTTGGCCGTGGTTCTGCTGAACGAGCGGAAGGCCTCGGCGGCGGCGTCGACGGCCGCCCGAGTGTCGGCGACGTTCATGTCGGGAACGTGAGCGATGACGGTGTTGTCGACTGGATTGCAGATGGGAAACGTCTGCTTGTTACCGGCGCCTATCCAGTTCCCATCGATGTACGCATTGTCCTTCAGGAGATGCATCGCTCTACAGCTCAGAGGCACGTGATGCGACAGGCACCGCTGTAACAACTTGGTCCTGAGCATTCTTTCGCACGGGCGGTCAAGTGTATCCTGTAAAGTGTAAACTGTAAGGAACGGAGAATTACGCGAGAAGAATTACAGTCTTCCAGGGAGTAGACCGCTGATCAGAATCGTGTACACCAATAGCCGCTGGGCTACTCGCATTACGTTGAACAATTGTTATATTGTACCCACTAATGTGATGCAATAGTTTTCGTTATTTTAGTCACAGTATGTCATTTTCAGCCCTGCAGCCATTTCAGTCCACGGTCGAAAAGTAGCGAGTCGTAAACATAAAACTTGCCAGGTACGGTCAACCAAATTTGATGCTGTCAATTATTGTTGGCGACCCCGAAGATTTATCTCGTTAGTAATATTTCATGTTCTTTAAACGTACACTGTACTGTTGATTTGCATATGAATATAACTTGCATCGAGCACTAGTGTCGGCTCTGTAATGCCAATTTCTGACTACTGTTACGTTCCTTTGTAATGCCAAGTAGATACCGAGCACCAGTTCCATTTATACAACAATTGCTCACTCGACAATGTAAATGTAAGGTCTAGGACGAGCTGTCGGTCGTTGGTCAGAAGTCGGAGCTATATGTCGATCCTTTTCCTTTCCCGGTGGAAGACAAAGGACCGGGGTGTCCCAGGAGGAAAGGTCGATATTCTGGGAGGCGACAGTATCGAAAAAATGTTGACGTGAGCATCAATGCAACCGATGCTCGGCGTTTAACTTGGCAATGCCCAGTAGTGGCCCAGCAATCTCTACTAATATCTGAACAACACCACGGGCCTGTACACCGCAACACCATCAGCGGTTTGCTCCCTGGGATCTTCGGGCAGCCAGCAGCACGCGCCAATTGTTGCGCCGACCTAGATTTAAACTTCACTCAACAATGTAATCGCGCGCGATTACGCCTTCCTGTCGAACGTGACAGGCGTGCGAGGCAGATTCGTGCCCGCATCTGGTTGCAATTTATACTTTCTAATCTAATTCCGCGACGTCGTCTTCGCTTCAGGCACCTTTGACAGCCGCTGCCGCCGCTTACCTTCGATAGGTTATCGATTCGACGACAGTACTGCGCGCCGCTGGGCTCGTTTAACGTCCGGCCGGTCGAGTAACGTTGTCAATTGCGTGCGCGATTGACAGAACGAGCTTACGTAAGCGGCGTCGACCGCATCGCGCCCGGCTTTATAAACCCTCGGGGCGGTGGAACGCCTGAACGGTGCCGCGACTGCCGACGCGCCGCGTCGGCGTCCCTCGGTCAACAAGCTCGTTATCGGGCCGGCTTTGTTTGTCTCGCGTTCAAGTCACGTCGCGGGGAATCCAGCGAGGCTCTCGGTGAGGCGGAGTCATGAGCGGCAACACGAAGCGGACCATCTACGTAGGCACGTGTGAATTAACGGTCGACGAAATGTTACGCGTCGAACAACGCACGTGGCTCGACCCTAACCTAAGGGCAACCTCGAGCGAGCGCCGAATGATTTTAACCGGCATTGATCGATTCGAACGGCACAATTGTCCACGCAGCGAGATCTCTGTACTATTCATGTAAGGTTTCACGAGCGTCGGTTAACTGTTAACCAGAGTTCAGTCGACTCTCCCTATCTTTTTCTATCTTATTGTCTAAGGAGAGACAGACAGTTAACAGATATTTGTGAAACTGGCCCCAAGGCCCGGTCTCGCCAAACGTCGCTTAACTTTAATCTTGGTTTCATTCACGTTTGTCTCTTTCTAAAGTGAAGCCTAATCTACAATGTGCTCTTTGCATTTAGAAACGTCCTATTTTGTAGACAATAAATGTGTTAAAAAAATTTTTGCAAGTTGATAAATTGTGTATTATACATTGTACATTGTCGACAAAGTTTTTAGGCGTTTTGATTTGCTGATATAAAATAGAATGTTTCTAGACGCAAAGAGCACATTGTAGATTAGGCTTTAGACTGATGGCAGAGAACAATCCGTAAACGCTTAAGACTGTCTCAGTCTTGAAAGGCTATTGTATACGACTTACGTTGCTCTCTGCCTTGCCCTACGTCTACGACTGAGACAGTCTTAAGCGTGTACGGATTGTTCTCTGCAATGAGCCTAAAGCCTAATCTACAATGTGCTTTCTGCATCTAGAAACATTCTATTTTATATAAACAAATCGAAACTCTTAAAACATTTGTCGACAATGTACGATTGTACAGTATATAATATACAATTCATTCACTTGCGCAAACTTTTTAAATGTATTTAGTGACTACAAAATAGAATGTTTCTAGATACAGAGAGCACATTGTAGATTAGACTTAAGAGTTGGAAGGAGACAAAGAACGAGTCAAGCTAAGCTTGAAGTTAAACAACGTTGGTGAAGCCAGGCCTAAGCGTCCAAATTTACTCTGTGTGCGAGTGCGTGAGCGTCAAGCAACAAAAAAGTTAATAATTTTAGTCGTAAAGTATTACACATGTTACTTGACATCCCAGCAAACACCAAGTAACAGTACGTGACATTATTTATTTGTATACTTGAGAAACATACCTTTGCGAGCAAAAAGTTGATAACTTTATTCTCAGAGCACTGTTATTTAACACGTTTGACTGTCCATCAAATGAGTCAAAGTTTCACCGAAGTTACTCCACGCAAATTGCCATTTGACAAACATACTTTTGCAGCGAGAAAGTTAATAATTTTGTTCGCAAAGTACTGTAGGTGTTACTCGACACGTTTGACTGTCCAACAAATGAATCAGGGTCTTACCGAAGTTACTCCACGCAAATTGTCAGTTGAGAAACGTACTTTTGCAGCGAAAAAGTCAATCATTTCGTTCGCAAAGTTGTAGAGGTATTACTCGACGTGTCTGACTGTCGATTGAATCGATCAAAGTTTGGTCAGAGTCACTTTAATTGTGCGCTATTACTTATTTGAGAGACATTTCTGCTACAATCATTACCAGGGAACGTTGTGCAAGATATTCGGACTAACGACTTCATCCCATCTTGTTCCTCAGGTGGTTTGGCCGAGGAGGTCGACGAGAAGGTGTTGCACGCGGCGTTTATACCCTTCGGCGAAATTGTCGACGTCCAGATACCGTTGGACTACGAGTCTGAAAAGCACCGAGGGTTTGCGTTCATTGAATTCGAGGCAGCGGAGGACGCGGCCGCGGCCATAGATAACATGGTATATTTGTAAAAGTGGCATTAAAAAAAACATTGGGGCGGATTGCTCGATAGCGATAATCTGATATCAAGAATCTTGTCAACTTCGTTGTCGTAGATAATTCAATTTGTGAATTGTTCATTGATAATGTCAACCCGCAAGTCATCGACGGGCTTTGCCCAAAACGAATCGCCCAAGGGCTTCAGAGAGCATTGCTATTCCTTTGGTGTCTGACTTTCTTCTCTTATCTAATCATTAGGAATATGTAAGAGCCAAAGTGACGCGTTGACTTACGTTTGTGGCGCGATAATTTATCAAAATTAATCCACGTTGATTAACAGAACGACTCGGAGCTGTTTGGCCGGACAATAAGGGTAAACATCGCTAAGCCGCAGAAGATAAAGGAAGGCTCGTCGAAGCCGGTATGGGCGGACGACACTTGGCTGCAAGAGCACGCGGGCGAGACGTTGAAAAATGACGACAGCGCCAAGACGAGCGATGTTGCGCAATCGAAGAAGACTAAGCAGAATCCGCAGGTTTACTTTGACATAAGCATAGGGAAGCAGGAATTGGGCAGAATTATCATGATGTTACGAGCAGACATTGTGCCGAAGACCGCGGAGAACTTTCGGGCACTTTGTACGCACGAAAAGGGATACGGATACCAGGGTAGCACCTTTCACAGGATCATTCCAGATTTCGTATCCTTGAATGTCATACTCGTTTTTTGTCCATGTGGAAATTTAGCTCATCTTGTGTACAGAATGGTTACAACGCGTTGTTTTGTAATTAGAGTTTATTTTAACGAATTAGAAAAACTTGAAAGCCAAGATAAGTAATTTAAACAGAGATTAAAGTTACTCTGCATTGGTAGAAATGAACATGAGAGATGTATAGTGATGGACAGAATGGTTGCGACATTTTTTCTTAAATGAGTTTAAGTGCATTTAGATTCAGGGCATTCAGATCAGTTACGTTCCGAAACTTTTCTTCTTCGGGAAATATTTTAATCGGTAGCCATTTTACGCGCGTTTCGAATCCATTTCTCGAGTAAAATTTTCCTCTGAGAAAATGTTTTGGAACGAAAACTTGAATCTAAGTGCGCATTCCTAAATCATTTTAACAAAGTGCAACCATTCTGTCCAGCACTGTGCATTTTTTATGTCTGTTTCTACCAATACAGACTAATTCTAATCTCAAAATTACTTCTTATCTTTTTCTAACACGTAAAACTAGGAAGAGATATAAAGTTAAGCTGGTGGCAAAGAACGATCCGTAAACGCTTAAGACTGGCTTAGTCGTAGACGTAGGGCAAGGCAGAGAGAAACGTAAGTCGTATACAATAGCCTTTCACGACTTGCGTTTCTCTCTGCCTTGCCCTACGTCTACGACTGAGACAGTCTTAAGCGTTTACGGATTGTTCTCTGCCATCAGACTAAGTTGAACCGAGATTAAACTGCATTGGTAGAAATTGGCAATATACATATAAAAAATAATTTTATATAAGTTTCATCTTTTAATCCCTTAGTTGAATTGGTGAGACGCCCGCCTAGAGCGTAGGGAAAACCAGGTTCAAACCCTGAGGTGATATTTTTTCGCAATAGATTATCTCTAATTAAAATTGCCAGTCGGTGTCGGTTTTTCTACACTGTGTTAACTTTAAGTAAAAATCCTTAACGCAAGCGTCACAGATGTGTCAAGGAGGTGATTTTACGAATCACAATGGCACAGGTGGGAAGTCAATCTACGGCAACAAGTTCGACGACGAGAATTTTGAATTAAAGCACACGGGGCCGGGGACTCTGTCAATGGCCAATTCCGGCCCGAATACAAACGGCTCGCAATTCTTCTTGGGCACAGCTAGGACGGACTGGCTGGATGGAAAACACGTTGTCTTCGGACACGTCCTCAGTGGCTTGGATGTACTTAGGAAGGTCGAAAAGTGCGGGACGAAGGCAGGCACGCCGACACAAAAGGTCGTCATAACTGCCTGTGGAGAACTAGTATAACTATTTGTATGTATATAAGGTGTTTCGTAATAAATCGGAGCTTGCAAAAGAATCGGCCACAAAATTTTTACATGTCAATAATTGGAGCTTTAATTTTATATTCAGCAATGAAATTATATACACGCACGTACCTGCGTGTATTTACGTAAAAGAATATTTAAGCTCCGATATTCACTGCCAGTACTGAAAATGTATACTTGACGTAAACTATAGATAATCTCTTTAGGTTGCCAGTAACAAATAACAAGGGATAAGTTTAACAAATAAAAAGTACACAGTGCGACGCGTCGACCAAGGGTTTAGGTCCTTACCAAGCACACATTCGTAAAAATTAATCGAGTCATTGTAATATGTAATTGAACGGTACAAAATTATGACAGAGTTGAGTCGGGCCCGTGTTCTGAATCCTTTTTTTATCTATAAAAGCCTCTAAAGAGTGGACTTGTAGCCAATCAGTAATACGGAGCTTGGTAATGACTGGCAATTTAAACAAATTCTCCGTATATAGTTTTAAAAAATATACTAGGTCCCAAGATCACCAAATATCCAGAATTTTTACAAGCTGAATATTCATTTTTTTTCTACGCACTTCAGCATGTTAGTGCATAATATAAAAGAAATGTATATCATATGTGCCTACAACGATAGCGATACGAATCCATTTCATGTACGTGTACTTATATGTATGTACATACACAGCCACGTGATATATAGATATTAAGAGACCAAAGTTTACAGAGACGTGCAACGATGATATTGCACAAAGCTAAACGTATGTGTCTCGCGTCTTTTACAATGCTGCGTACGACGATCAATCAGAGTGTCCGAGGTTTCGGTGCTAGCGCATCCTCCTCGGTAAAATGCAACCGGCTGGAAGGAAAAGTCGCGATCGTAACGGCGTCCACGGAGGGGTAACGTGAATATATTCTACATCTTCGACGTCTTAGCGCTCTGCGCGATATGCGCAAAAAGATACCAGCTTCCCTCTTAAGAAACCTGATAACTTTTCCTCGCTTGCTAATGCGGGAGCCAATTAATTTCATCAACTCGATCGCGCCTGAACGCTCTGCTTAGGTTATGCTTCGAATCTTCGCAGAATAGGTTTTTCCGTAGCGAAGCGTTTAGCGCAGGAGGGCGCGAAGGTGATGATCAGCAGCCGTAAGGAGGCGAACGTGAGAAGGGCCGTGGAGGAACTCAAGGCCGAGGGCCTGCAGGTCGCCGGTACCGTCTGCCACGTGGGAAAGGCAGAGGACAGGAAAAATCTGTTTGAAAAAGTAAGAAAAGCCAAATCTCTCCCTCGCGGATTAACGTCATTTTGGTAACTTTTTTCAATTGTAGATCCGTACCGTCGTCTAATTGCTATTGGCGTGTCGGGAAGTAGGTTGTAAAGTTGTGAAAAGAAAAAAAAACCGATTACAGACCAAAAGCAGCTTCGGAGGCCTGGATATTTTGGTGTCCAACGCAGCCGTCAATCCAGCGGTCGGCCCAGTATTGAGCTGCGACGAGCAAGTGTGGGACAAGACCTTTGACATCAACGTCAGGTGTACGTTCTTGCTGTTGAAGGAATCTCTGCCGCTTCTCAAATGCAGCAAATCACCTTCCATCATCATCATGGCCTCGATCGCCGGCTACCAGCCCTTCGAGGTGAGTCCGATTGAAGGCGTCTTAGCTTTGACTCGGGCCTTCTTTCGGTCCGTTCGCCAGTCCTCACCTTCCCGTATACCTAGACACTGTAATGCGCCAACTTTAGGTACGGCCGACTCCCAGAACTGATTTCCACCGGATTTAAATCCCCTTCCGTTTCCCACACGTCTCAAGAGAGTCGGCAAATCATTGGAGCAGTTTGAATCGTCGAAGCGCTAATGTTGTCGACCTTCTTTCAGTTATTGGGCGTATATTCCATTTGCAAAACCGCTCTACTGGGCCTGATCAAAGCCACCACAGGCGATCTCGCGCACGACGGGATCCGCATAAACGGCATCGCGCCGGGGATAATAAAAACTAAATTCTCAAAGTCGGTACGTGCCTCTGTAACTTGTCCGAAACTCGCGCGGTCTTGTCGAAAGCACATTAGAGGGGACACGTGCGTGAGCTATTACGTTTTTTTTTCAGTTGTACGAGACGGAAGAGGCGCACGAAATTGCCAAAATGCAGAGCAGCATGGGAAGACTCGGGGTGCCAGACGAGGTCGCAGGCGCAGCTGCGTTCCTAGCGAGCGACGACGCTTCTTATGTGACCGGCGAAACCATAGTAGTGTCTGGCGGCATGAAATCGAGGCTTTGAGTCGTTTTGCAATAAGTTTCGGTTTTAATCGGTGAACAATTCTCGACGCAGCCGGCAATCGATTCGCTGGTAGAAGTTACAAAGCGCTCGGCAATTTCCAAGAATAAATTGACGCCGGTTGTGTCGAAAATGACTGATTGATTATCTCCTGGCGAATACTACGAATTTACACTCGGGTCGTTTTTAACTTGTACACATGTGCGTGTCGCGGTGTCCGCAACGAGACTTCAAGACGCAAGGTTTGAGAAAGTGGCCCGTTGAAAATCGGAGTCGATTATTCTCACCGCATTCGTCCGCGATTACCTAGTCGGTTTTTCTCACGTCTTGAAATTTCGTTGTAGCGCCGCGTTAAGGGTGCCGGGAAATTTTTGTAAAAGTTTTGATATGTTATTACGTAAAAGCTTGTACATACTGACTTGGTGTACTTATGCAATGTATAGCGTACACGAAGAAATGGTAAAAAGTATTGCATGAAGAAAACGTAAAGTACAAAACTAATCAAGTTACATGTTTAATTATACAAGTAACTCAATTTATTTCCCTTACTCTGACCGTAAGTCTCGCGTGCGTACTCGGTTTATTTTGAAGTGTGCAATACAACAAATGTATACACAGGATTGTGCAAGTGCCCAGATAGCAATCCACGTCTAAAAGGCGCCATCAAGATATCTTTGAGACACTTTTTAGACTAAGGGCCTGAGCAGAATGGCTTTCTTGTACTCTTAAGACAATGTTTTAAGCCTTTGTCTTGAGGTAAGCGCACAATAACTGTCTTGTGTCTTAAGAGTACAAGACGGTCATTCTACTCAGGCCCGTACATGTCTAAAAGACGACTCGATGCCGTCTTAAAGATCGCTTTTAGGCCCGGTTTTACCAAACGTTGTTTAACTTTAATCTTGGCTTTCAAGCTTTCGCGGCTGCTGTCTTCTTGAGGCCCAGTTTCACAAACGTCGTTTAACCGCTAACCCATGGTTAATTGATCCTCTGTCCCTTCTTGGATAACAAGATAGAGAAAGATAGGAAGTCGACTGAACTCTGGTTAACAGTTAACCGACGCTTGTGAAACTGGACCTCAGTCGTAATGGCTGCCGGATGGTTGCCGCGTCCGTTTTGTGGTGCCGACGTTTCGCAAACATTGCAGTTTGCATCATCCCCAGTGAAAAATGATTCGTCGATCGATGTCGAAACGATGTCGAATCGACGTCAATTTGACGGTATCGATGTCGATTCGACATCGTTTTGACATCGATTGACGAATCATTTCTCACTGGGTCAGGGCTGGGAGACTCTGATACTTTAATCTTATTGTTAGTTTAATTCATGTTTGTCTCTTTCTAGAGTAACAGTTGGAAAGAGACAGAAGTTTTTGAGCAGGGTTTTTGCTAAATTAATAAGGCATCATCTGTTGGTTTCATCGTGAATTTATTGCCCTTGGAGTGAAATCCGTTTAGTGGAAAATTCATTGTTAGATCGTGTAATCGTTGTGAATAAAGATTCGTGATTAAATTTGGATGCTAAAACCCTGCTATCTCGTATTAGAGGACTTTCCTCTGCGTATCTTTTTTTTTATCGGTTCTTCTATTTTATTTTTTATAAATTTTGATTAGAGTGAAAAATTTGGATCCCACTTTCTCGAAATCGCGATTGAAAGGCTCGTAATAGACTATGGATCGAGCGAAGTTTACTAGTCTCAAATTTAGTGAATTTCACTCTGATTCAAGAGAAACTTGTGCGAAGGCTCCGTTTTTGCAGAAAAGTTGTAAATTGATTGGCTATTCCCATGGTCAATCAACTTGCGACTTATCTGCAAGAGCAAAAGTTTTATGCACGCTTCTCTTGAGGCCCCGATTCTTGAATTCATTCGCACAATAAACGTACGTGCAAATTCTGCTTTTAAGGAAACGTCGTTAGTCGATTGGCTAAGGCCCGGTTTCACCAACGCGAGTTAATCTAATCGGTCGGTTAACTTAACAGGGTGCCAACATAAAACTTCTTTATTAACCTATTTTCTTGGTTAATAAAGAAGTTTTATGTTGGCACCCTGTCAAGTTAACCGACCGATTAGATTAACTCGCGTTGGTGAAACCGGGCCTAAGAGCCACGCGAACAGCCAATCGACTTGCAAGTTTTCTGTAAGAATAGCATTTTCGTATACGTTTTTCTCTCGAGTGAAATCAAGAATCGAGAATCGAGCCTCCGGTTAAGGCATACATTTATGCGCTTTGCGCACATAGCTTCCCCATTAACAGGATTTACACACTGATTGAAAGTCGGTCTCTCCCACGTGTCAAGAACCCGCCTTTCGCGATGCGCCAATCCAATGACGTCACGGAGCCGGGCAGAAACGGCGCGCGATTGGCGCGTCCGCGTCCGATCCGCGTATCGCCGACCGACCTAGAAAAAAGTTGCCCGTGTTAAAATTGCGACTCGTCGCGCGGCTCGAACGCGAGCGGGTCTCCTCGCGGAAGTGTCGCGCGCGACGCGAGCCTCGGCGTCCAATCGCGCGTGACGCGATCTCCGTTCGCCGTCGAGCGTCTCTCGGACGCGGCAGGTCCCGTCGCGTCATGTCGTCACGAGCGAGGGTCGCCGCGACGGGTCAGGGCGGCGCGGGGTGCGACGCGGCGCGCGCGATGACGACAACCGCCGCCGTCTGACGTTGCGTCTGACGCGAGTCGCGCGCTCGGCGCGATCGATTTTCGTTCGATTCGAGCTCTCGAGCCGCCCGCAGCGCGCGCGACAGCAGCGACGACGACGTCGACGACGACGGCGGCGACACCGTTAGGCGCCGCGCGACCGCGATCCACCTCCTCGCTCGCTTTTATTTACTCCACGCGCACACATACACGCATACACGTATACACGTTCGCGCGCGTGCTCGCGCGCACGCACGAGAGACGCTGGAGACACGCTCGCGCGCGCTCTCTTTCTCTCTCGCTCGCTCTCTCCCTACCGCGGGTGATAAACATGGCTGTCGTGCTTTGTGATGATTATCAGCGCGAGTTTGTGCGGCCGAGTGTCGCGCCGAGTGACCGCGAGTAATATGGATGAGGGACGCCAGTCCCGGGGACCCAGGTAACGACCACGCCGAGCACCCCGTTCCTCTCTCTCTCTCGCCCCCTCGCCCCCTTGCCGTCGTCGTCGAGGGCGAAGATCCGCGGCGATCTCGCCCTCGACAGCGACGGCGGACGCTGGCTCGTTCACGCGACGGACTCGTGCCCGTTATCGCCGCCCGTTCACGCGACACCCCGCGACTCCTATCGCGAGCGTTTCCTATTTTCCGTCCGCCTCCTCCTCCGCCACCTCCTCCCTCCCCTACCCCTGGCTCCCCTGCGAACGCGAAGGTGAGTGAACCTGTGCTCCTGCTGCTGCTGCTCCTCGCACGTCACGGAGCCCGACGCGCGTTATTTGCGCCACGGACTCGCCACAGGCCCGCCCGCGACTCCGACGCACCGTCTCGCCCGCCGATCCCCGCGGGGATCCTCGCGAGCCGCCGTCCTCACCCTCGCCCGCGGCCGGGTAGCGTCGCCTCCCGGGGAAACCCGGCCTCGTCGGGATCGGCCGGGATTACCGACGCGCCGATCTCGCCGTCGACCCCCCCTTCTCCTCCTCCCCCCCGACTCCCGCAGCTCCGGTGCTCCGACGCGCGCGGCACCGTTGGTTCCGTTTAAACTGGAGCTGGGGAATCTGACGAATGTCCGCGCAATTTCGCCTCGAATAAAATTTCCCCGCTCGCGTAAACGCGACTCTCCCGCGCCTGTGTGGCCTCGGAGCCCCGGGCGAGAGACTGACGGGGGTGCGCACTCGACCCCGACAGCTCGAGCACGCACGTCTTCAGACGGGGATAAATATTTAGGATATCGTATCCGATTTCATGGGTTGACAGCTGTTTGTAGCTCATTAGAGAAGAAGGTGAATGTACACAGACAGTTAATTGAAAGATACATCTGAGGAGCTACGAGCAGAAGACTAATGTCAATGCTTAGATGTAACATAATTCTGCGATAAGATCCTCGCGTGTCGACGGTAAATTGCCCACGGATGCTGATCGCGCTCCGCTCGTCTGTTGCAGGCTGTCGTCTGGGTGAGCAATGAATGTACTTCGTATTTTGACACCGTGTGTGTTACAACGCAGACGCATAAGGGGCATCGATAATACTGATAAAAGGGACTCCTGGTTCATGAGAAGACAGCTTGGAGATGCCTCCCACATGACACATAGAATGGGTGCTTCTGCATCATCAAGCATCACCAGCGTAGGTGGAGACTCGGTCCAAGCAGCCAGACTCTCGGCGTCAAGTAGCCCGGAACAACATGGCATTGCAGTTAGGTACATTGTCAGCACAATTTGCAATATTCGCTCAGTGTTTAAGTTTCCGAATGAAAGAGACGCTTGCCGTCTTATAAATTGCCCGAGGTGTCGCCTCAAATGAGAATTGTAGAAGAGCAGTAAGTTCAGACAGTAAAAGCACTGTCGTACGCTACGTTTTGTAATATATAAATAGACAATGATTCAAGGACGAGAGTTATAGATTTGACCGCACATCAAACTTTCTATAGTTGTTTATTCATGTATAGAGAGAAAAAGAAGAAGATGACAGGATTCGCGACACTACGCAAGAAGTTTATTAGGAGACGCCGCTCCTCCAAGGCGTGTGATCATGGTAGAATTATTAGAGACCTGGTGTCCACATGGAGCCACTTAGAAGCCACCGCTCTGCTTGAAGAGTACGAGGCGTTAGCTGCGTTGAAAGATCTTCATGTTCAAGCCGAATTAGCTAGACCGCCAGCTGCTACTTTTAAGCAAGATCTGTCGATGTTATATGATTACAAGCACTGCTCCGACGTGGATCTTGTATATAGAGGAGCGTGTTTTCCTGTTCATAGAGCCGTGCTTTCCGCCAGATGCCCGTACTTTAGGGATTTGTTGGCTGGCTGTCCGGGTATATATCTTTACATTCTCTTCATAAAGCAATAAAAACTTCTCGTGCCATTATTCCTTTCATAACGTGAGAATTGACATCCGGCAAGACGCTGGTTATTTTGTTCGCGCGTTATATTTCACTAAAAATTGCAGGATATGGTGCTAGAATATGTTTGGAGCTAAGGACTCCGCATCTGGAGGTGCAGATGTTCTCGGCGTTATTGCGATATCTGTACACTGGTGATATTTGCCCGCACGACGCGACTTTGGAAGCGAACCTACTCCGGCGGCTCGGAGAAGAGTTCGGGACTCCGAATCCACTGGAGCATGATCTCAGATATTTGCTGGACACCGGCGACTACGCGGACGCCGCTCTCGTGTTCACGTCGGACAGTGATTATCAAAGACCGGATAGTGGAAGTTCCGAGTACGGATTTCGCCCGAAATTAGAGCTGCCATGTCACAAAGCGATACTTTCCGCAAGATCTCCCTTCTTCCGAAATTTAATACAAAGACGGACTAGATCCGGCGAGGATCATACAGAAAGGGCGCTTCACATACCTACTAGAATAGTGTTGGACGAGAGCGTGATACCTAAACGATACGCCAGAGTGTTGCTACATGCCGTTTATCTGGACACCGTTGACTTATCCTTGATACTGAGAGGAAGCGGTTGTGGAAATAGCGCTGGTAGCTTGGGAGAGGTGAGAAGATCTTAACTGTCGAAATATTTTGCGTCCACCGATACACGTTAATATTCTTGCTCAAACTTACAGGTTCAAGCTCTGACACATACGGGCCGAATGCGACCGAGTCCATTGGAAGAGGCGATGGAATTGTATCAGATCGGACGGTTTCTCGAGCTTGATATATTGTCGCAAGGCTGCGAGGATCTTATTTTGGAATACCTCACCTTGGAGTCACTACCGACTGTTCTCAAGTAAATCCGATTACTAATCAATTATTTATAACCACTGGAAATTAGACCGCGTGCTAAAAAAGAATGTGCATTGCGCGCAGGTGGGGCAGTCAGCCTCATGGATCAGCATGGGTGCACAGACAAGCGTTACATTACTTAAGGGAGGAATTTCAGCCAATTGCTTCGTCCTCGATTCTTCATCAGTTAGATCACGCCCACTTAGCGAATGTTTTACAGAGTCATTTTTTACAAGCGAGCGAACTTGAGGTACTGCAGGCAGTGCTCAAGTGGGGCGAACACGAATTAGTACGTCGAATGGAGGATCGGGAACCTAATTTGCTTAGCCATACTGTGCACTCGGTGACGAGGAAGGGTATTAAGAAAAGAGATCTCAGCGACATTGAATTGCGGGAGATACTCAGCGAACTTCTGCCGCTTGTCAGAATAGATCACATATTGCCGCCGAACAGCGAAGCATTAGTACAGGTATATATTTCCCGCGAGACACTATTTTTTACAATTATATACGAGTAAATGTTTCTCAATAATATAGTTTTTTTCGTTTATGTTTTAGGCCATTAGGAGAGGATTGGTTTCAACCCCGCCAAGTCACATGATAGGAGACGAGAGAGACAACTTGAGGGTGAACGCTTGGATAAGGAACGGGAAGAAAAATGGATTTTTCGTGAGACCAAGGCTATTCATGCCGTATTACGAAGAAATCAAAGTAATAATAACACATTGTTTCCCAAATTTGGAACGCATTAACTACAGTGGAGTATACTAACGAATTTATTCGATATAGTCCTTGGTGGAGGAACAAATGATTCAGGAAGCCGATCTAGTGAGATTACGAAGGCCACGATACGTAGCGGATATACCGGATGCGCTGTACATGGTGGAGGAGAAACCAAGAGCTATGGGCACCGCTGGTGTCGATGTTCTTGCAGCTGCATTTCCAGGTATTATAAACTTAACTATTACATATATCCACACAATTCGATACAAAAATACCGACAGCTTTGTAATAAGAACGTGAATGCTTCAATAATATCTTTAATGTCGATTAGCGGATGAGAAATCGATGAAAGAGAACATAATGGATAGGCTTACCTTACAATTTATGTAGGACAAGATTTAATTCGGTTAATTTGTGTTGCAGTACCAGATTCTGCAACAATGGCAGCAATGCTGAAACGAGAGCAGAAATTGAAGCAATCGCCCAGTTGTCAACGAGCCATAAGCCTGGCGCTTTCCTCACGACACGAAATTAATCGGCAAGTGCGACTGCGCGTTGTCAGGGAGTTCAACTTGCCCGATACCGTGGCGGATCTTCTGGAAGTAAGTGCTTTTCATGCTACTGCTTACCTCTAAATAGTAATTTATATAGCTATAACGATAACAGCAATAAAAGGTGCATAATAATATTACATCCGCATCGCATGGGTAAATTGGGAGCAGGAAAAATCAATACGAAAATAGATGAATATACGAAACGGGAGATAAGAGATTTCTGAGACGATTAAACCATAATGCAGCATTTCTTTTATTAATCTCGAATGCCGTGCGCGTGATCTGTAAACGTTGTCGCGAATTAGTGCCATGAAATGCTAGAAACGTGCGCCAGCATAACGTTCTGAAATATCTTCAACAAGAATTGAAATGCATTTGCAATTCCACGGATAATTACTTTGTGATGAAGTAAACCGCGAATAAAGTCAGATGACAACTGTTTCATTGCGCATATTCTGAATTTTATTTATTAATAGTCATGGATAGATTATCCTGAGGCACTATTTTATGACTTACAATATTTACACAAACGTCCAAATTAATTCCGGTATTTCGTTTCGTGAGTGACACGTATAAAACTTATTACTATTATCAAGAATACAAAGTTTTGAACGCGATAAATATAAAGGTCGACAACGTTTCCATTTTAGAAAAATTAATTGAGGCTTACAGGCCTCACGTGCACCGCGTGTACTATTTACATTAAGAGCTACTTGTTTACGTTGTATCATTAAAAATGTGATTTTTAAAACGTTATAAATAAAATATCGTTAGAGATATCAGTCGCATTTCTAGCGTCGTGGCAGATAAGTTGCACATTGTTAGCATTAGGTTCTATCATCAAATCGAACAATTATTCAATAAAATAATTGTCTTTCATTAGCTTTGGTCCTCACTATATCATATTATTTATAACACGTTCTGCGCCAGGCTAATTTTACATGATTGTCCTGAACACCGCGTGGGTCACCGGTGACCCACGCAGTATGTTATAATTGTTAAATGAATTGTGCCCCGTAATGATTACAAAACGAAAACAGTTATCATAAAAAAACAAGTCTGACGTACAGAAGGCAATGCACGACGGAGCAAATATTGTTATGAAACATTTATTTAATACTAACATTTAATATGAAAATACTAACATTTAATATGAAAATAATTAATAATTTATAGTCAAAATATCAGACGACCTGAATGCGGAAAGTCGTGGGTCACCGGTGGCCCACGCGGCGCGGAACATGTTAATATTGTCTTATTGCGAAGTATTGTCATTGTCTTATTGTGCAATATTGTCCGAGGATTTTTTATCACATGTTTATATACTATTTTATCGCGGCCCTACGAAGCTACCTAGCAATATTGTTATCATGCCGAGAAATCGATCTTTTCGAAAATGTTACGGATAGACTTTCGCGTCTAATCAATCCACGAGCCATCCCTTCTGATCGAATATAGACAGGATGTGCAACATTTTTTGTTTATAATTGTCGTCGTCGATTCCACCTGCGAAAACGCATTCGTTCGCCGTCTCGGTCGCCGTCTGCGAAACGGAGCCACGCGCCGCCTGTATCACTTGCACCATCATGATGCACTGGTTAAATCTGACGGGGGCGCATTGATTCAATTGCTCCATAAATTGGCTCTTGGGAAATGCGCTTGTGTCTACACTTAGCGACTTGAGGCTCTCGATGAAGGAATCGTAATAAAAGTCAATCATGTCGTCGAGATGATTGTCGAGCACCTCCTTCCGGGAACTCGACATGAGGAAAAATATCAGATCGGTCGCACCGTAGTTGTAGACCGTCAATTGAAAGTCCACAATTTTCATATTGATCGGCTTGCCCGACTCATCGTACTTGAACATCATGTTATTTACCCAGAAATCGTTATGCACCAGCGTCGCCCAAGGTTCCTCCGGCGTTACATCATGCTTAAATCCGTATTCGATCGTTCTCTCTATTCTATCCAGATAAGCTTCCGCTCCTTTTATACTTTTGTAGTCGTTGTGCGCTTTCTCTACCATGTCCACCACGCCTTTTTCCGCGGCCTCGTTTATGGCGAGCTCCAGACCGGGTAGCACCGTTTTTTTGAAGAATTCGGGCTTTTTCAGCTTCAGACCGATCGTTACGGCGTGCAGCTTGGCCAAGTGGCTGATCGCGAAATACATGTGCTCCTTGTCCAGGCCTGCGATACGGTCCTGCGTCATGTAATTGTGACTCTTGAGATTTTCTAAAACGATGGCGGCCTGCTCGTCGAAACGCTGCGGATCCCGTAGACCTAATCGCCCGCCTACAAATTGCGGCACGATGACGCTCAGGGCTTCCCGCGGGATCCCGCATTCGTTTTGCAGCTTCAAAAATTCCGGCGCCACCAGGCTGTAAAACTCCAGCTCCTTCTTGAACGTTAGCGGGCTGTCGAACAAATCTAGCAAGTACGCCGATCTCGGCGGCAGCTTCACGACGACGTTCAGCGTTCTCTTCTTATCATTCTGCTCGGCGCCGACAGTCACGGCCAGTATTATGCTGCCGAAGTTCTCACCCGGATCCGTTAGGTGCTTCCATTCCACATTGTGTATTCGAAAATTGGGGCCGTACGCTTGCATCAACAATACGTCCAGATTTTTAACGGGGAGCGTGTCGAGCGCCGATTGCGTTTTCCTAACAGAAGGAAACTTCGTATTACAGAGCTATTATTTCAGGGAGGCTAAAGTACAACGATATTGTGCGACTGCAATTATACGGATTACACGGAATTATTATGAAATTAGAGCCGACATACATTGTGCGTATTTGCTGAAGTTTCTTGGAAACTGGGGTTGAGTCCTCTTTTATGTAGATTGGACGTTTAGTCGTCAATATCGTATACCTCGGGGCTCTCTCTCTTAGGCTGTAAAATAAATTTTATTTTTTTTTACTAATTGTAAAACTCAGAAATAATTAGATAAGTGATACTTAATTTCAACCAGTCTCGGTTTAATTCACTGTAATTCTGTCATTTCCATACTATATTACCATCTTTTAATAAACCACTCGGTTTCAATTAAACGTTTTTACGCAAAATGTTATACATACAAAGTGTAAGCAAATTATAACTGTACGTTTTAGAATTGATAGAATTCACTGGATAATGAGACGATATTAATACGCAGTGCGTACCAAAAGTTCCCCGCGACCACTTCGATAAAAACTCTAATTAAAAAAATTTTACTCGCGTCAGTGTTCAACATACGTCCTACCTTTTTCTACGCACAATTTCGAGCATTCGTAGAGCTGCTGAAAGGCTCGCTGGAGCTCTTTTACCGGAACACAGTCCAGCAGTCTCGTGACTCTAGCATTTGAACGTTGGAAATGGGAGATAGTGAAAATAATTTTAAATTATTACAACGTGACGAGTTGTTTCAGTTTAATTGAATATGACCCAACGCACAAGAGGCAAGATTGAATAAACGAAAATTGAGGAGCAGCGATCAGCGAAACTGCGTGCTCCCAAGTAAATAATCAGGACAATATCGACAGTTTACTTTTCATTACGCTCTGTCACTCGTGATGTTCAACTTTAAAAGTTGTCTCACTATCAGTTGTTTCCACGTTCAGGTGATAACAACGAGGCTACTAAACACTCTACGAACGTTCGAAATTATATGTACCGAGAGACGCGTTTAAATCTAACGCGAATAAAATATTTTCCTTTCAAATTTGAGCTTTCGCTGCGGTAATTCGTAAAACTTTTTATGCACATTATGCATATTCACCGAAATTAGATAACAATTTAATTTAGCTTAATGGGTTTTAATAATTTACTTCAATTAATTCAGACGTATGAAATATACATGGAATTAATATCTCTAACTAATTGTAGAACTGATATTTCCACAGCTCGGTATTAGCAACTACTAGATAATTTCGGGAAGAGACACGTGTTACGGATTACCGACTGTTATGGGTCATTCATTATTTCAATTTGCTCAAAATGTAAACTGAACTAATGGCTATTCCAATCCGGATTTAATGCCGGATCGCGGATTTGTGTCAGAAGAAATTCCCAGCGCATCGAATTTGATTTAGAATGTAATTTAATAACGATCATAAATCAGTTCTCTCTCCAAGTTTTGCGTTTGACACTGCGTACAACGTGGGATTTTTCCGTCTTTAATAAGAAAGTTACCGTTTTGCTGAAAGACACTTTGAAACAAATAGTCGTAATTTTGAACATTTGCTATGAAAAATGTGAAGAATTAATTTTCAATTTACAGATTGAAAAACATAGAAATGTAATATAAAATATAGTTTTCCTGCCTATACGCTTGATAAGAATTTATCTAATCATTTTGCCCAGTAAATTCGATCGAGTCTAAAGAAATTACACAGTTTACTTACAGCTTTGTAAAGCTTTAAATGTTATTGAGCGCGTAGATATCTTCGTAGCACCAATCTCCGTTTGAAAGAGAAAAAAAGATCACCTTATCATTACTCGGCACCGTCGGCTTTGCGTTCTATCTTCGATGTAAGAGCGTGTACGTGTGTTTTCTACTTCCTAACGTTCGCTCGCGTATATGTTCAAGCATTAACTGTCATTACGTTGTAAAGCGTCGCTATTTTATATCATAGTAGGGAGAGAACTGTCGGTTAGGCCTCGCGCCGACTATGACTCGTTCATGCAAATTCAATTCGCAGATAAGCCAGTTTTCCTTATCGCTGCTCGGCAACGCGCAGAATGCACTTCGAAATGCAACGGCATCGGGTAAACAGATCATAACGGCTTGGTTTTTGTTACGAACAAATGACGTGGCGTTCGATCTACGATCAGTGTGTGAGCCTAGAAAGCAGAACGCGAGCGTGTCATTGTTTTGCACTTACATGGCTGGGCAAGTGCATCGGCAGAAACTCAGATGAGCCTTTCTGGCTGGATTAATCGGGCATCAAGCGCGGCCGAGGAGCGTACAACCTATTTATAGTCCACTCGCGACACGCGAAACTTTGTGCGTTAAGATAAATGTTGCAGAAACGATGTTCAGTCCGCGACTAAATTGTCCCCAAAGTGCATAAACTTTTTTAACGATTAGCAAACTGCAACTTTACCGCTGCCCTGCTCGTGTCACTATAATTTTTTTTAAGGCCGCGTTACGAGTATTTACTGCGTAGATAGAGCCTCGTTTTTCGACGCAATTAACCGACTATCGTGAACGTTGAAAGATGATAGTCGGGAGCTTTTAGCTCGTCGTATTGAGACATTCAATTAACTCCCGTGCCCTGTATAATTGCTCGAGTGACTTCGTGACTGTGACGACACAGTCGCGGACGCGAGCCAGCGTTACGCGACGTTTTATTTCTGGTAATAGCACAAATTTATTTTCGGAAATTGTCACGAATCAAGAGAGACCTCTATTTGCCTTTGTATTATACTTACTCAGCATCAAACGTGTCGTGACATTACATTTTCGTTACTCTAAATATTCCGCGAAATTACGGATATATTGCGCGATATACGTAAAAATATTATTTAATCTGGGGAGGAAAACGAAACAACTAATAAAAACAAACGCGGGCGATCAACATGCATTACCGTCTGATCAATATACATGACGAAACGTATTAATAATGTATAGCTATTTATATTATGCGCCATTGTACACGTGCGCCAACATCTTCATACACTCATTACCAATAATTATATTATTTTAGGGACAGAAACGCTGTTGAAGACTAAGTAAAGTCGAAACGTTTGTCAGTTTAAACTATTACTTCTAAATTTTAATTTTAATTTTTTTGTTATTACATCTTTAGATGTTAGGCAAACGCGTCATCTTATATTTTAAGTTAGAGTAAGATAGCTATGCTATGCGCTTAATTATTAAACATCCTAATTTTATTGTTATATTAAGCTGGACACTGCTCGTAACACTATTGGCCTTAAACATTTTTAACGTTTATTTTATTTCAATCAAGACGAGCTTGCAGTAATTTCTTTATTTATAGCTATGTCACGTGATTGATGATCGTCAACTTTTCATTTTATACCATTGCCGGAAAATATATCTACGTCTGATCAATATGGAGGGTACTGGAAAGTTGGGCGTCGAAAGTCACTCGGGATATACCCATGACCCATATCCTTGTATTTGCGGGGGATCCATCAATCTGGGCGCATTTTCATGTAATCACCACGCCAACGGGATATCCTTCTTCGTGTTATTATTCGCGGTAAATAAATTCGTAGTAAATAATTCGAAGTAAATAACAAAGCTGAGAAGAAAGAAGCCGTTGTTATAGGTAAATCCCCCTCGGCGTTAAACTGGCCGATTTAACAATAATTAATAAGTTACTGGAAGACAATCGCGATCTACGAGGAAGTTGGACGACGCGAACAATAACGAATGGGGAAAACTTCAACGTGGCGCGCGTACCTCTCTTTCTTTTCTGCGCGCTATTATGTCATAATCGGTCAATAATCACATAGCCGCGTGCCGTATTCGCGACGATTGCTTCTCGCTAATGGGCTCAATCACGCTTCCACGCGTATGCAAATGCGTCCTTTACGACGCGTGGGCCGCCGTAAGAGCGTCCGCCGGATTTTCTCATCCCACGGAAGCCGCATCGACGAGCATTTGCCCCTGGATGCGTAGCGTTATTTACGCACGCTCCAGATCTCTCGCACTTTTCCTCCGTCTGCGAGCACCTTGGCTAATTCTTGGCGAAAATTTCGTCGCACGCGACCTCCTTCGGCGGGTCGTTTCGACACTCGGCGTGAAGTAACTTTGTGACTCGGGTGGTCCGAATTGAAATTTCTAAAAGTTTAATTAAAGCACGCGGGGAGGATTTTCCCTCCAGCTTCGTCCGGAAAATATTGCAATCGTGGGACGGCACGGCATTTCAAAGAATTTTGTGAGAGTTTTTCGAAATTTCGCCATACGTTTCACTGGTAATTATACTTGGTATACATTTTGCTGGTAAAATGTATGGCAAGCTTTCGAAAGCCTCTCGTAGAGTTCCTCAAAATGCCACGTTGTCCCACGATCACACGATTTTCAGGGTAAAGTTTAAGGGCCTGAGCAGAATGGCCGTCTTGTATTCTTAAGCCACAAGACAGTTATTGTGCGTTACTTTAAGGCCCGTTCTACAATGAGTCGTTAGTCGTTAGTCAGAAGTCGCAACTATATGTTGATCCTTTTCCTTTCTGGGTGGAAGAAAAAAGATCGACATATAGTTCCGACTTCTGACTAACGACTAACAACTCATTGTAGACCGGGCGTAAGACGAAGATTTAAAACACAAAACATTGTCCTAAGAGTGCGAGCCATTCTGCTCAGGTTCTAAGAGACCATTCTCTCCGTGCAGAACCGAACGGCATGCTGTATTGTCTTCAAATATGATCCTCGGCTTGTAATATAATTCTGATCCATATCTATTTCCTGGATACGACGGGAGGCAATAACATTACTCTTCGGCCCGGTTTTTCATTCGCTGATTAAGCGTTAACAGGAGGTCAGTCGATGATCTGTCTCTTCTTAGACCCGGTTTTTCATTTTCTGGTTAACTGTTAACCAGAGGCTAAGTCGACTCTCCATCTTTCTCTCTATTATTATCTAGGAAAAGACAGAGAATCTACTAACCTCTAGCTAACATTTGACCGGCAAATGAAAAACCGGGCCTTAGACAATAATATAGAAAAAGACGGAAAGTCGACTAGCCTCTGGTTAACAGTTAATCAGAAAATGAAAAACCGGGCCTTCAAATAAGCGGTTGCTATGCGCGTTTCCTTGAAAAGAATCGATACGTCGGATTACGTTTCATATATCATCGAATCGAGACTGAGAAAAAACATTTTTCGCGATAAATACCTTCCTCCTGCTGTCAATCAACTTGATTGTTGCATCACTATTGTATACACGCATAAATGACTGTGCGATCGGGCTGACACAATCGCGGCCGTAACAATAAGCAGGTGTCGTGAATTAATTCATATCGCAAGAAGGACTTTCATGCCACACACGATCCCAACAGCTGCGCACACGGGCGCGTTCATAGCGCATAGAACTCGGAAGCGACACACCGAGTTTCCTCGTAAAGGTTAAGCTTGTATTGCAACTACACGCGGGAAGAATCGATCGATTTATTTCCAATAAGTTTGAAGAATATCAGGCTGTTAGTGAGCGACTCTGTTAGGAAAGTCACGCAGCTACGTTGCGACATATGTTAAATCTTTTATGTACAATAGGAATATTCAATTAGCAATAGCATTGTGCAAAGCAATAATCTCGAAACAAGGTGGCTCGTCGCGACTTTTTGTTGCTCGAAAGCGACCGAAGTACAATTAGATGCGGGAGTAAATTACATCGAGCACGCCGGGCACGTTCGTAGACGAGGCTCGAAGCGTATTCCATATTAAAATCAGGCATTTGTATTCGCGCGCGCGCGAAGCCACAATTCTTATCGTTCGAGCACAGTTCTGCCCTTCATTTTCGCCAGTTCGCCCGACATCGATACCTCGATTGCATAATCATCGGCCTCCGCGTAAACGAGCAAGCCGTATAAAATCTCTCGCAGCCTCAAGTGTTATAGATCTACCGCGAGGGCAAAATAAACGAGGGAAATACCAGAAATTTCGCCTGTTACGTAACCGCCGTCTCTACCGACATTTACCTCGAATAGCAATTAAATTTCGCCGCGTCACGAAATCGCTGAGAAACACTTGAGATTTCTTCGCGTTTAATCGGCACGGCCTGGGAGTTTCTGCTTGATACACCGATACAATCCACGTTCGTTAAATTTGATACTTTCGGGGTGAGCGCAGGAAGCTTACGCGCGAATCGTACTGTTATCTCGTTCGAGGATCTTAATCCACCGCGGAAAAAAAAGTTGTATTATATAATCGCGTGTAAACACTCGTGTACGATCTGCCGGCTATTTGCATACGATATATATGCAATTGTGCCTTTGCTATTAACGAACACGTCATTTACCTTAGCGCTGATAGAGCGAGACGCAATCGGAGCACGTTCGCCAAGAACGCGACGGCATCGGCGTGACGTGGGTGAAATCGTAACACGTGCGTAAACCCGAAGACGACGTCAAACCCTCGTTCTTCCTCCTTTTCTTTCGCTTTTTTGCAGTAACGCCGCCGCCTTATGCACCGCGCCGGGTGGGATTTTGCACGGCACTTTGACAGCGCAATTCGCGACTAGCGTCGCGAGGAGGCTCCGGCCGCTGTTTTAACTTTGCCTCTTATTCTCCCCCTTTTTCCGCGCTGCTGTTCGCATTATCTGCGTCTTCAAACGTCGAGTTAGACGCGCGTTAGAAACGCGATACGACGAGCGCCGGTGAACTGGCAATGATACGCGAGATGCGCATTTTGTCTCAATGCAATGAGATGCAAACGAGAGTCCACGATATCTTGCCACTCCGTGAAACTGCAGCTTTGAAACCGCGACGTCAAGATTGCTCAGTGTCAACGGTCACGTGCCGATAGCTCTGTGCTGCGACGCTTAATCTACAAAAATAATTAGGTGGAGTAAGCACACTGAGAAACATTTTCGTCGGATTTTCCGATTAAACTGTGGATACACTCGTTGTTATGTAATTGGATTATCCGATTATATTTAATCGGAAAAGTTTTTTTCACCGCAGTCAAACAGAAAGTGCGTCAAAATACGGTTGGGCTGGACCTTTCGATGCCTAATATTTTTGAAGCTCTGCCCATTTTTCGCTCGGCGAACCGCCGTCTGCCACGAAACGCAGTCTCAAACTAAAGCTAGTACAGTACAATCGCGTATTTATATTGATAACCACGCGCCGTTGATAATTCTCGGCTCTGATAACAGTCGGGTTTGAAAGGCAGCCTAAAACTGAAACTGAAATAATACAACCGCGCGATTAAATTGATAATTGACATCAAGGATAATTAATATTACTAATACTCGTCTTTACAACTATCCGCTGCATATGTTGCGCAAAATTGGCCCATTTTCTATTTGCCTGATTGTTATTGCAACAGTCGTCGACTTAATAGATGGATATTAATATGAATTTATGTCGTGAAAAATTTTCCACTTCGGTACAAAGGATCAATCGTCAGATATTTTGGACTCCCTCCCGTCCCTCTTTGTCGAAAGTGAAAACTCGCCTTGCAATTCCCCAGAAATAAAAAATGCATTCCTCTGTAGAAATAATTTCTATAAATTTTTAATTTTCTTTTTTTTTCAAGGCTTTGAAGTGACGACGGAACAGAACACACACACACAAACATACACACAATTTCATGCGATTTGAAATAAACGCTGCATAGCACACGAGATAAATACGCAGATAATTTCAAAAGGTCCGAAAGTACCGCTTTCATTATCGATACATTGTTTCGTAATGATACTCAACTTGCAATATTGTTACATTATTTGTATTTACGTAACGCGAACGCCAGCGGTGTGTAGCTGACTTTCGATATCGGGATACAGTGGCGAAAACCACGGTGCGCGATCGATATATGTATATACAAATAGAAAAATAAAACATAATATATATTGTATATATATATACACATACATAAACGGGACAAGTATATCGCAATACGTTATATTTTTCTTTTCATATTGTTTTATGTTTTTTGTTTGTAAAATGTTACGCCGACACGGTTTCGTTTACAGTTTATTACAACAATAAACGCAAACGTAATCTTTACCCAGTGTGCCGTTTTAAATTAGCAATTTTTTCCCTCCGCACGCGATATGTCTTGCAAATATGTCACACTTTGATTCAGTGAAATGCCACGTTTTTCACGGTGGATCTTCATTCACGACGGCGAGCGACGTGCACGATAATATCCTGAAGGGCGGCTGTTCGCCAAAAATAATTTATGTCCCGCTTTAAACGCGGTTTGTATACCACGATAGATGTACGGCGGTGTCGCGCGCTGGGGTGACAAGCGGATGAATCATGAAACGACACTTGTGACTACCGCCAATCGGATGTAACGCATGCAATCTCTATAGCGCGGCCGTGCGGCATTATGCATAAATAAACGCGGACGCGTATTATCAAATACGCGCGGCGCGTTGCGTCACCGCGGACTCCGGCGCCCCGCGATGCGTACCGAACGCATCGCGAATCTGAGCGCGCCCGAAAATTACTTCCGTCCACCTCTAAAATACATTACGCAATAACGCCCGGATTTAATCTTAATCCGCGGGGAATTAAAGTATTTCATTCGCTGCTTTCGCTCGGCCGTAATAATTACAAGCGCGGTATGAATAAATAACGGAATAATTTAGACCACACCGGATGAAAAAAGATTTACAGCTCAATGCGCGCAATCCAGGATTTAATATACGCGCGCGAAGGCAGGTAACTGTTAATTTTTGGCGTTGCCGGTTTTTTTTTCCTTTTCTGCAGCGAATGTCAAATTATTGGGCGCGTTTCGTAACACACGGGTGGCCGCGCGGAGGTCTTTTTTTTCCCGCGTTTACACGAATGCGGAATGTTACACACGGCTCGAAATTATGCACATTAATGCCGCCGCACGTACGTGTTTGTCGGTGCAGCGTATTACCGTCGTGCGCGATGACATAACGTTACTAACGTGTCAAAACAACGTCGCGTACGTGCCGGGAGAACTTTGGTAGCCGCTCGAAACAATTCCGTCCATCGTTTAGATGACGCGAGATTAAAAGGCAATCTCATCGTGCCGCGAGCTGCGGCTCGTGTCGCGCGTTGTTGTTTATTGTTTTTCAGGTGACTCAGATACGCGAGATCGAGGAAAACAGATTTCGCCGACTGAATAAATCGTCTGTCGATAATTAGTTGCTCATTAACGCTCGCGGCTCCCTGGAATCCAATATCCATCGCGAAACTCGTTCTCCTCGCGGAGGAGAACGCAAAGTAAGTCAGGCGCGCGCGAGGCGGAATGAAAATGTAACGCCGCGCGGCGCAAGTTTGCCGGGGACTTTTTCTCGTTTGAATATTGTAACGTTTCTTTCGACAGTGTACGGGCTTTACGCGCCGTTATTCGACTATCACGTCGACAATTACAGTTTAGTTCTCTCGAGTTTCTTAGAGTTAAGTGCTCCTAATTGGTGGTGTAACGCGACCCTCGTAAACTCCGCGCCGATAGTGTACCTATCGTTATTTACGAGCTTTGTTTAAAGTTCGGTATCTCGCGATAAGGTTGTTTAACGCGTAAACATTATCCTAGATAATGTCGCGGAAGTGCTCGGCTCGGTTCCCTTGTGTAGCATAACAGCTTGATATCATCGCTCGCTATTTTGATTCATTCGCGACGCCGACGACGGTGACTTAATACTTTCCGGGTTAGAAAAGCGTTCTAGGTGCCGACGTAATAGCTTAATTACTTTCCGGGTTATGGCCCGAGCGGAAAGATTGTCGCGAGTGTTCATACGATTCCGCGGTAAGACGCAAGTCGATGTCGGGAGTCGACGCACAGAGAATTGTCGTAGACGTGTGTCGCCTTGCGATGCGACGGATGCGACATACGTCATACGATAATTCTCTGCGCGTCGACTTTCGACGCTGACTTAAGTCTTAAAGCTAGCGCCACACTATGCGCGATTTGCGAACAGTGTGGTGGAAAAATTCGTCGATTCGCCGTGCGCAAAATTCACCATTCGCAGTGATTCGCTAGTCGAGCGGTTTTTTTTTACTAATACTTGGCTAATTGTTATGATCCAAGTCCTGTGTAAAGGCTGAAAGTTGTCCAACACGAGCGAAACGACAAATAACAAATTATGAATGATAAACCGCGAATCACGAATAGTGTTGTAAGTAATAACGAATGTCCAACGAATTTCTGCGAATCGCGGATTAAGAATCGCGCACGGTGTGGCGCGAGCTTTACGACAGAATCGTAAACTGTTACGACAATCTTTCTGCTCGGGTCCTTAGGAAATGTAGCGAGAAAGACAGATGGGAAAAAGAGGCAGAAGTCACGTGTATACATGGAAAACAAATATAACTACCGTAGCTAGCAGCTTCATGTGGCAACTAAATTTTACTAGTAAAATATGGACAGCTAATATTTTGCCACCGTGCCTATTGTATTAGGCGCGACGGCAAACCGTTTGCTGTGGTTTAGAAATGTGCAGTTATGGCCGCGAAATATTTTTATTAAAAATATGCAAAAAGGCCAATAAAACGAACGAGCCGGGTGAAAGTGACAGAATGATCATGTATTATTTACGAGTGTATAAAACAAAAACCGCGAACGTTTCGGCAGCACAGCGCTTTCATCGGCGTTCAATAATATAAATTATTTAAAAAATCAATATGATAACGCACAATGATACTGAAGAAAGGTATGAAAATCGTGAGTGGTGAAACGTACGCAATAGCGGGCTTTAAAATAATTTTAGCGTACCACGATTATCTACGGTAGCGAAATTTTTTCTCTCAGTGTAATTGCGCGGAAGGAGCGCTCTGTCGTTCCCCGGGCGCACAGTGCCTTTTCATCAGCGCTCAATAATATAAGTGATTAAAAAGTCAATATAATAACGTCAATGATACTGAAGGAAGGTATGAAAAGCGTGAGTGGTGAAACGTACGCAACAGCAGATTTGAAAATAGTTTTAGCAAACCACGATTATCTACGGCAGCGAATTTTTTTTTCTCTCAGTGTAATTGCGCGGAAAGAGCGCTCTGTCATTCCCCGGGCGAGATTTCACGGGCGCGTGTAATTTCGCGCGCGGGGGTCCCCGGGTCCTCCCGGGTCCCGTGCGGAGGGAGAGGCCTTAATGGGCGGACGCCGGGGAACAGGTGTGCGCGCGTGAGATAATCGCGCGTGTCGTCGCCGCTCGCTAATTCGCGGCGGCCGCGTAACGTATGCGCGGCGTCGCGCACCCCCGATACGCTCGCTGCATTAATGTGCGTCTTCCTATAGCGCGTGCGGCACACGTCAATTGGGTCACGGCTCGCGTTCTATTTCGGTAGGCAGGGCGGGGAGGAGAGCCCTCAACCCTCGCCCTCGTCCCGGAGGACGCGGGCGAGGCGGGGATTCGTTTCTATGAATTTATTCCGCGGAGCCCTCCCCTTTTCCTCCAGGTCGCGCGACGCAATCGACACTAATTCCTCGCTCATTTGCGCCGTGTCCCGCGGCCACTCGGCCGCGCACCATCCGATCCCCCATGTCGACGATCCTCCGATTAATATTCACCGGCGCGATACCGTCGACGTCCCGCAAATCGCCGTCCCTCCACGTCCCTCCGCGTCCCTCCGCGTCCCTCCGCGTCTCCCCCCCCTTCCTCCCCCGTGCCCTCCCGCCCCGCGCCTAATCGCGGGGTCTTTCCCCCTCGTGTATTATTCCGAGCTTTTAATGCATCTTTCATCCAGCGGACAGCGCGCGATAAATTGCCGGCGTATCGATTTCAGAACACAGCGTCTTACAGTATGAAAGAGCAAAACGAGCAGAGGATGACAGATATAGAGGACATTGACTCGCCGGGCATGGGTATTCGTGTGAGAACTACCGCCCCGGTGTGTTACGGGAGGAACATGACATTTCCTCGGCCGACTTCGTCTTACGCACATAGGCACGAACTTCCAGCTATAGTGACCGAGGGAGAGAGCTGCAGACTTCTTGCCGAGGTAAGGGATACGACACCGACGCACGCCGTGTATCGCCGCGCTCGCGTTCACCCTCGCGCGGCCCCGAGGCTCTAAATCTCCGTTCGCGATGCCCTCCTCCTGATCGGAGCCCGATCTCGAGC